AAATAATTACAATTGGTGATGCATTATTTTCATCAAAATCACCAAGAAATTTATTAAGTTTTAACGATATTCGGTCCAATGGATATCATGTTGAAACAACCAATGATGGTGATAAAGAGTATCTCAATATTACGAAAATGATATCGGGTAAGAAAAGTCTTTTGGAAAAATTACCCGTATTGTCCTCCGGATTGTATTATACAAATATTATAATGATTGAAAATAAAAGGTATGATAACATCTACAAAGTTTGGCATGACCGGTTGGGCCATCCCGGATCAGTTATGATGCGCAAAATAATTGAAAGTTCAAGTGGACATTCCTTGAAAAACCAGAAGATTTTTCAAGCTAATGAATTGTATTGTGTTGCATGTTCTCAAGGAAAATTAATTTCCCGTCTATCATTGAATAAAGTTGGGTATGAAAGTCCTAGATTTTTAGAAAGAATTCAAGGGGATATATGTGGACCAATTCATCCACCATGTGGACCATTTAGATATTTTATGGTCTTAATTGACGCGTCAACTAGATGGTCACACGTGTGCTTGTTATCTAGCCGTAATCTCGCTTTCGCAAGATTACTAGCACAAATAATCCGCCTAAGGGCACATTTTCCGATTACCCAATTAAGAAAATTCGACTTGACAATGCTGGAGAATTTACATCACAAGCTTTTAATGACTATTGCATGTCGATTGGGATAACTATTGAACAACTTGTTGCATATGTTCATACACAAAATGGTTTAGCTGAGTCGTTAATCAAACGCCTTCAATTAATTGCAAGACCATTATTAATGCATTCTAAACTTCCTACATCGACATGGGGACATGCAATTTTACATGCGACATCACTTATACGCATCAGGCCAACTAGTTATCATAAGTTCTCCCCTATTCAACTGGTTTGCGGCCATGTACCAAATATTTCCCATCTAAGGACGTTCGGATGTGCAATTTATGTAACTATTTCTCCATCTCACTGCACAAAAATGGGTCCTCAAAGAAGAATGAGAATTTATGTTGGATACGAATCTCCATCTATAGTAAAATATTTAAAATCATCAACTGGAGATTTATTTAGAGCTATATTTGATGATTATTATTTTGATGAATCATATTTTCCAACATTAGGGGGAGAAATAAAGAAGCTGGAAAATAAAATCTCTTGAAAGGAATTGTCACTTTCAGTTTTAGATCCCCGTTCAAGTCAATGTGAACTTGAAATAAGAAAGATAATTCATTTACAAAATGTAGCAAATCAATTGCCAGAAGCATTTACTGACCCTAAGTGGGTAACAAAGTTTCATGTACCAGCTATACTTACTCAAGTTAGAATTGATATCCCAGAAGGAAAAAAATGCAACTATAAATGAATCAAAGGCACGCCTGAAGCGTGGAAGACTAACCGGTTCTAAAGATAAAAATCCTCGAAAATGAAAGGGAGCAAATATAATTGATGGTCCAAAAGAGAAAACATAATCTTTTGAAAATATTAATGAAGCTCCAGAAGAGCCCAATGACATAATAAAAGAAAATAAGGCACCTGAAAAAATGAAAATGATGAGATCTCAATAAATTATGTCATAACAAGAATAAGATGGAACCGAAATAAGATAGATGTCGACGATAATTTTTCATATTATGTTCCGTGCGCGATTATAATGAAAATGAGGATCTTGAACCTAAATCTATTGAGTAATGTATGAATAGAAAGGATTGGCCAAAATCGAAAGATGCAATAAACAAAGAGCTTAATTCTATTACTCAACGAAAAGTTTTTGGACCTGTAGTCCGTACACCAAACAGAGTAAGAACAATGGGACACAAATGGGTATTTGTGCGCAAAAGAAACGAGAAAAATAAGGTTGTGAGATATAAAGCAATATTTGTTGCACAAGGTTTTACCCAAAAGCCAAAAATTGATTATGAAGAAACATAGTCTCCGGTAGTTGATGCAATTATATTCAATTATTTTATAAGTTTAACAACATATGCAAAACTGGAGATGTGTCTAATGGATGTATTTACCGTTTATTTATATGGTTCACTTGAAAATGATATTTATATGAAAATCCCAAAAGGGTTTAAGGTGCCAGAAGCACAAACTCCTAATTCTCGTGAAGTATATTCAGTAAAATTAAATAAATCTTTGTATGGATTGGAACAATCTGGCCGGATGTGGTTCAATTGTTTAAGTACGTTTCTTTTAAAAGAGGGCTATAAAAATGATCCATTAAGCCCATGTGTATTCATAAAAAGATCCGGATCAGAATTTGTGATAATTGTTGTTTACGTAGATGATTTGAACATAATTGGAACTTCTGGAGAATTGGAAAATGCCACTTCTTGTTTAAAAGAAAATTTTGAAATGAACGAAATTTTGTTTGGGTCTTCAAATTGAGCACACCAAAAATGGAGTTTTTGTACATCAATCTAGTTATCTAGAAAAGGTGCTTAAAAAGTTTTATATGGATAACTCACATCCATTGAGTACCCCGATGGTAGTAAGGCATTTCGATGCCAAAAAGGACCAGTTTCGGCCTTGTGAAAAACATGAAAAACTTCTTGGTCCCGAAGTACCATATCTTAGTGCTATTGGTGCACTGATGTATCTTGCTAATAATACGAGACCTGATATATCTTTTGCTGTAAATTTATTAGCAAGATATAGTTCTTGCCCAACAAGAAGACATTGGAATGGAGTCAAACACATTCTTCGATATCTTCGAGGTACAATGGATATGGGCTTATATTATTCAAATTCATCAAATGCGGAGTTAATTAGTTATGCAGATGCTGGATATTTGTCTGATCCACACAAAGCTCGATCCCAAACAGAGATTATAGCAATTCATGAGGCAAGCCGTGAATGTATTTGGTTAAGAACTTTAACTCAATACATTTGCAAGAATTGTGGTCTAACTTCTAACAGGGATGTTTCAACCATACTATATGAAGATAATACAACTTGTATAGCTCCATTCAAGGAAGGATTTATCAAAAGAGACAGAACCAAGCATATATCACCAAAGTTTATTTCACTCATGATCTTCAAAAAGAGTGTGACATCACATCTAGAAAATTCAATCCAGTGACAACTTTCCTGATTGGTTTACTAAAGCACTTCCAACATCGAAATTTGAAAAGATGGTACGAAACATTGTTATGCGGTGCTTCAAGAAAATCAAGTGATGTGCTAATCAGGGGGAGTTAGAAACATATTGTACTCTTTTCCTTAGTTATGTTTTTCCCACTGGGTTTTCGTAACAAGGTTTTTCATGAGGCAATTGTTTCCACTTTCCATCCTTAAACTTGTGGAATTCAATTTCAAACCGATGTCATTTATACGTGTAATAATTCTACTGGTTGATGAGTTATGTGTTTACCAACCGTTGTAAACCAAACCAATAATTTTATTTGTTAAAGTACACAAAATATTAAAGCATATCCTTTTAGCTAGGACAATGATGTACACAATTAGTTTGGACAATTACAAGTACATTACTTAAAGAATATTCACTTTAAATAAAGTTGTTATTTACATCATGAAGCTTAAACTTAAAAGATTAATAAAAACATATATTATTTTTGTATATATCTACACAATTTTTTAGTGCATAACAAACCAATTCAAATCTTCAATTCTTTGGCGTTTCCAGGTTCTTCCCTGGTTAGAAAATAATTAATAAAAAAGTTGATGTATTTAATAAAATTAAAAAGATAAAACTATCATTTTCAAAAAATTAACAACTAAACTGTTAAACTTAAAGAATTATGAACGAAAACTACAACAAAACCTTCTTTAAGAAGTAAAAATTAAAAGTTGGTTTTAAAAAATATTTAAATGATTTCTTAATTTTTGAATGCTTTTTACCTTTTAAATATCAAAAGTCCCCCCCCCCCCCCCCCTAATAATAATAATAATAATAATAATAATAAATTTTATGACTTTTGAAAAAAAATTGTTTTTAGCAAAAAGTTATTTTTTTAATTCTCAAACATCTTTTGAATTTTTTAACTTTTTGAGAAAATCTTTTTACATTTTAAATCAATTAGGGTGTTTATATGGTAAAATATGATATCTTTTCAACCAACCTCCTTTTAATGGGTGTTTGGATAAATAGTTATTTAGTTATTAGTTTATTACTTATTTGTTTATTGCGGTGGGAATAAACATTTTTAAAAAATGTGTTTTGATTAACTTATTGCAGTGGGAATAAACAATAAGCAATAAACATTATAAGTGTTTGGCAAACAAAACAGCATATATGAGTAAATGACCAATAAGCAATAAACATTCCCCCATTACTTATTAAAATCAGCTTATTTGACTTATTCCTACCGCAATAAGCTGATTTATAAATATTTTTATCCATACACTTAAATTTGCTTATTGTGGTGAGATTAAACAATAAACAATAAGCAGCTTATTTTTTCCCTATCCAAACAACCCCTTGAAAGGCCAAAAATCATAAAAAGATACAATTTCATGACTTTTAATATATATATATATATATATATATATATATATATATATATATATATATATATATATATATATATATATATATATATTCTTAGCAAAAAGTTATTTTTTAGAGTAAATTACACGAATGGTCCCTATGGTTTAGGGTAATTTGCACGTTTGGTCCCTAACTTATTTTTTTAACTCGGAAGGTACCTACTGTTTGTTTTTGTTACACGCTTGGTCGCTATCTTACCTAAAAAGACTATTTTGCCCTTGATTTTTTAATTTATTTAAATAAACACACTCCCAACCTCACTCCACTCACCTTACCCTACCTATCCCATCATCTTTCTCTAATCAAATAATAATCTTTTTAGATAAGACAGGAACCAAACGCGTAACAAAAACAAATAGAAGGGACCAAACACGTAACAAAAACAAACAGTAAGGACCTTCCGAGTTAAAAAAGTAAGTTAGGGACCAAACGTGCAAATTACCCCAAACAATAGGGACCATTCGTGTAATTTACTCTATTTTTTAATTCCTAAACATCTTTTGTATTTTTTTAACTTTTTAAGAAAACTAAAAATCAAAAAGTTGTTTTAAAAGCAATCCCAACACCCTCCAAATATATACCTTTTTTTGCTAAGAAACTTTTTTTTGGACCCTACACAAAGAAATGTACCAGTTTCGTCTAGAAAAACTAAAATATGATTTCATAAGCATGGGTTAAACTCATCATAAAAGGACGATAAAGTTTTGTATTAGCAGTACTTATTGATATTTTCATTCATTGTTCTTCAAAGCATCATCATCATATTCATAATTCATGGCCATCAACCTCTGAAATTTTAAGCCTTTTTTTTTACAAACAAAACATAACACAAAATTATTGGTCAATAAAGATCTAAGCAGCTCCAACCCTATCACGAGGAATCAGGCGAAGTTCTGAGCCATGTTTCAAGAACACATTGCCTGCCAAACCCAAAACCATCATCACATTATTATTTAACACCATCATCATAACATAATCATAATCATAAACATAAATGCTAACATACCTGCACTTTGTTGAGGATTGATTCCAACACCATCTGCAAAATGAATACAGAAAATGGATTTAGCATACTCATAAACATAAATGCTAACCAATTTTTATGCAACTTTGTTGTTGGTAATAGAAAATGTGCAAAGTTTTGAGTGTTTTTAGGGTTTTAAGGTTGTTTAATTCTTGAGATGACTGCTAATTCACCTTCTTCAGATTCATTATTGGCCTTATTGTGTGGCAAATTGTGGAGAAGCAATCATAAGGAATTCTCTTAAAGTCTCAACAATTTGTGGTCTCTGATTATTGATCAGAGTATTGATCGTGTTTAAGTAGGAAATGGCAAGAATAGGAGTACATGTTTAAAAACTCATAGAATGCATAAGCATTAAGCAACAGCAGGATGAACTAGAAAGAATCAATTGCGACAACATTAGGGCATGATATATTAAACGAAAATTGGGTTACCATTTGTGATGATGGCGCTAGTTTGGGGAGGGACTTTGAATTCTTCCGCTGCATATTTAAGAACAGCAGTGAATGGAGCTCCCTCTGGAACGCTAAACCTAGAAGCAGATCGAGGACACATATAGCAAAAGAATTAACGGATTGAACGAAAATCAAAACCCTATGGCTATGAGAGAAGAAGAAGAAGAAGGCAAGGTTACATACACTTTGAAAGGAAGCTTCGGATCGGAGGTCAGAATAACCTTGAACGACACTTTCCCTCCGGCAGCAGCACTCGCCATAGCAGCAGATCTTTTGTTGCTTCGCCTCCGATTGGATTTAGGACAGGACAAATCTCTTGTAAAATATACCGAAACAAAACTGAGTTGGAACGTATTTACTACGCTAGTTAGTGGAAGGGCAAAATGAGTTTTTTTTTGTTTTTTTGTTTTTGAAAAATAAAATCATTAAATTTTATTTTCATATTATACTCTTTAATAAATTATTAAACTATCTAAAAAGCATTATTAATATTGATAATAAGAGGTTTGACATTTTTTATTAAGTTGGATAGTAAAAAAAGTAGCTTAAGAGAATAATAAATCTGTCTGTCTATATAAAGCTTTATTTAGAATTAGACTAAGCTTAAGTTCATTTAACTAAATAAACATTAAAAAAATGAAAAAATTACAAAACTAATCATTATTTTAAATTATTTTTCAGTTTTTAGTCCAAAATTAGAAATTACCTCAAATTAACCACCGAAACCGGAGGTATAGAAAACCTTCTGGTGTTTCGCTTAGAGACTTACAGTTTCGGTTTTTATATATAAGAAAAAGAAAAAAAAAAACCATACGAACCGTAGGTTTCTCCAAAAAACCTACGGTATCCTCTGATAAGTCTACGGTTCCCCAAACCGTAGGTTTAGAGAAACCTATGATTGCATTGAATTACAGAAAAATAATCCGTTTTTCGGAAAAAAATTTCAAGAAAAATGAAATTTTTGAAAATATGTTTAGATCGTCTATTTTTTTAAATTTTTTACGGAAAATGAAAATTTTCCGTTTTCTAAAATTACAAAAAAGTTGAAGATTTTTGGAAGACTGATAATCATTGTTTTCCATATTTTTCTAATTCCAAAATTTCTCTAAAATATAAACAAACACCCGCTCCCACACCCTACCTATGCACACTCACACCCCCCCCCCCCACACACACACACACACATCCTCATCCCCACCCCTATAAACACTCAAAACCACATCTATCCCACAAACATACACACACATACCCCCCCCCACACACACACACACACAAACACACAGACACACCTACCTACCCAACACAACTACTACAATCATCGACCTATCAGCGTCACCACCACCACTGCTACCCCATCACCAGTACCACCATTTTCGCCGCCTACCTGTTACCGCCACCGCCCCACCCCCACCCTATCACTGCTATCGCTTTCTAAAAATGAAAACCAATGGAAAAATAAACATTTAAACGTGTTTTCTAATTTTCTAAAAGTGAAAATGAAAAATTAATAAGTTTTAACTAAACACGTTTTCTAAATTTTTCAATGAAAACTGAAAACGGAAAACGAAAACTGAAAAGAGAAAATGAAAAACGAAAAATGAAAATTGATTTTTCGTAACTAAACACAACCTATGGTTTTGGCATTTTTTATTTTTGAAAATTTTACTTTTTTGTATAAGTTGACTATTGTTTCAGGTATTTTTGACTACTATGTCGTACCTACTATATCATACAAGAATGTTATCATTTAGAAGTTAGTGTTTTATTTGTTATGATATTGCTTTGTCTCAAAGATCATAGTATGAGTTCAATTGAGTATTTTGTATATGTTTATCACTAACCGAAGATGAGAATTTGTTAATTTCTAACCATCATATGTATGGCCAATGGGATACATCCGAGAATGTTTTGTTACAGTGTTGAGTTTTATGAAACCACCATATTCACTGAATTTGTTCATATGGTGAAAAGTAAGACTAGTATTCCTGATGAACCAAAAACCAATATGCCTTATCAACATCCCGAGCAACTGTATCATTGCTCTATTGTCGATTATCGTGATATTAGAAGGTTGATGTGACATCCCCATTTTTTCGGCTAGAAAAAACCGATTTTGTTTATGCTTTATAAAAATCAGAGTACCCCTTTTAATAAAAATGTTGCGGAATTTGTTCCCAGTAAAACATGATAAATACGTTATCAAATCATTTCCGAAGAAAAGTATTTTTATTAATTTTAAAACATTTGGGATGACATCGTCAATACAGAAACATAAACATAAATAGAACTTACATTTATTATCACTAGTGATTTATATCTCCTTAATCTCTCAGTGTAATGTGACTCCATATCAACACTTGTGGTATAAATAAACTGAGTGGGTCAGGTTGGAAAACCTGTTTAGTACATAGGGTTTTCAACCCACAATAATATAATTATTATGTTTAATCATCAAACAATTAACTTAATTACCCATCCCTATTATCTTCTTTACTCTTAAGGATTTACCCTAACAATTAGCTATTCCTCGTTCATTCTTTCCTAAGGAATAGGCACGAAATCCATCATTGCCAAGGTTTGCTCAACATGCACTAAATCCATAGCTTCCAGGGTTATCTCATTTATCGACAGTATCGTTTACGAGAATCCACTTGAAATACATGTCAATGGGTTTTTATCTCGTTTATCAACAGTATCGTTTCCGATAATCCACTCGCAATACATGTCAATGGGTTTTTAGAGTACACCTGGTGAATACACGGTTCAAATAACACCTACATGTTACAAGCATGCTAGTGTTCCACTGGACTGTCTAGAATAGTTCGTGGTTGTCATCCATACTCTGCTAGATGACGGGGCCAACACTTGGGTAAAAAGGCTTCTCTCACGGTTCACCTCTCACCCTTATCTCATGGTCACCTCCCATCATTTTGATTTTGTCACACAACAACTATTTCATCTACCCATGTTTTATCCAACACATTTTGTAGATATAAAATACATATACAGTTTAAATCATTTAAAACATGTATAAAAATCTTTCACCCAGCATAGACGACAAGTATACAGACAATATACACACATAGTGTGACATCCCCATTTTCATGGTCAGAAAAGACCGATTTTGTTTATGCTTTATAAAAATCAAAGTACCTCTTTTAATAAAAATGTTGCGGAATTTGTTCCGAGTAAAACATGATAAATACGTTTTCAAAGCATATTTGAAGAAAATTATTTTTATTCATTTTAAAACATTTAGGATGTCATCGTCAATGCAGAAACATAAACATAAACAGAACTTACATTCATTATCACTAGTGATTTATATCTCCTTAATCTCTCAGTGTAATGTGACTTCATATCAACACCTGTGATATAAATAAACCGAGTAGGTCAGGTTGGGAAACCTAGTGAGTACATAGGGTTTTCAACCCACAATAAATAAGTTTATTAAATTTATCAAACCAAACAAAACCGATTACCCGTTCCCATTATCCTCACTTTACGTCCCTAAAACATCTAACACAAGGGACCTAGTCTAACGACTTTAATCGGGATGGACACTATTGCTAAGGGGATTCCTCAGCAATAAATGTCCTTAAGGCAACCATGTGGGGATGGAGTACACCTGGTGAGCACACAATTCAAATAAACACACAGTTCAAATAAACACCTACAGGTTGCGAGTCTGCTAGCGTTCCACTGGACTGTCTAGAATAGTCTGTGGTTCTCATTTATACTTCGCTAGATGACTGGATCATCAATGTCATCTATAACGAGGCCTCTCATTATTTTATTTTGTCACACAGCAACTATTACATCTACCCATGTTTTACCCAACACATTTTGTAGATATAAAATACATATACAGTTTATATCATTTAAAAAAAAATATAAAATCGTTCATCCAGCATAGATAGCAAGTATACAGATAATATGCACACACAGCACGTAATTTATATAAAATACTTCATATCTATGTGTAAGCTGAAAGTAACTATGCACTCACTTGGAAAGGTGGTGATTCCTAACTCAGTCAACGCTTCACTTTTTGAAAAAAAAAAATTCCTTCGACGAAACCTAGTATTATTATCACTAGAGTTTAGTCTATTATTCGTCGAGACTAATTAATAGTCTAGCTATTATTACTATTATATAAGCGTTAAATAATACTTATATAACCCATAATAATAGTCAAATTACTTATTATATGTTCTTAATAACGTTACTATAATTAAATAAAAGCTATATTAAAAATAGCGTAGACGTAGCTCACTTACAGTGGGTTTTATAGAAAACCAGACCTTGCTTGGAGCAACAGAAAAGCTCTTCTTCTCGGAGCCGTAGGTAAAAATAATATCTACAACTTTCATTTTGACTCCATCGACTAATTCTCGACCGATCTTAAATTTAACTGTACGATGATATTATACTGTTAAATGTCCGCGTAAAATTCATAACTTCTACATACAGACTCTGTTTTCGTCCGTCTTTTTATCGTTGAGTTCCTATTAATGAGATCTTCAATTCTCATTTAGGTTGCGTTGGCCAAAAACCGCTCGATCTAAAATTCGAGTTTCGAGTTGTGCACTGCTAATCCAAATCTTAGAAAATTCATAACTTCCTCATACGAAGTCAGATTTGGGCGTTCTTTTTATGGACGCTCTCAGGTTAACATATTCTATGACTTCTGTTTAGATTACTGAGGCCAAAAAGTCCTCTATCGTAAATTCACTATTTATGTCTCCCGGTGCCGTGTTGGTTTTGACGTAAAACTTCGACGAGCCATAACTTCTTCTTTATAACTCGGATTTTTGCGTTCTTTGTATGTACTGAATCCTTGAGAAATATTCTACATCTTGGTTAAGATTATTTATTCTAAATAATATTTTGTCGAAAATTTGTTTTCGATCCCTATTATCTCTAAATTGATTAGCCCGGATCTACGGGCGTTACACATAGCATGTAATTTATATTAAATACTTGATATGTATGTGTAAGATTAAAGTAACTATGCACTCACCTGATAAGGTGGTGACTCGGTACTCGGACAACATTTCGTTTTACTTTAAACAACTCCTTTGATAGAACAACGAGTTTTTCTCAAAAACGGGCTTCGCTGGAACAACGTTCCCAAGTCGAAAGACTCTTTTTCTCAGATTCTTCAGGCACTTCGGGGCTTCCGCCTCGTTCTAGGGAGGTTCCCTAGGCTTTTCGTTGGGGGGGGGGGTCGGGGCTAGAGAGAAGTTCTAGAGAGAGGGAAGCGATGGGAGGTGTGAGGAATCAAGAGGGCTTTACCTCTTATTTATAGGGGGCTGGAGGGTCACTCACGTTGTGAGTTTTATTTGTTGGGTATGGCATTTAACGGAATC